ACAGTCACACTTGGTGTGTTAGGTCCTTCAGAGGTTCGGTCTTAAGTTCTTCTCTGCATAGCCCTCACCTCTGCCAGTAGATCACAGGCTCTCGGCTCCAGTCCCTGAGGAGTCAGTTGAGCCTAGTGGTCCATACGCTGAGCTGGCGGGTTGCCTCATTTTCCTTATGACTTGCACTCGTCCAGATCTCGCATACCCTCTCAGCATCCTTGCTCACTTTGTGGCGACAGGTAGACACCGACCACAACGCTGGTGGGCCGCTAAGAGAGTTTTGTGTTATCTAGCTAGTACATTGGCATTGGGCTGGTGCTAGGAGGACGCAGGCCAGTGGTCCTTACTGGGCACACAGACGCTTCGTGGGCGGATGACGCTGAGACGCTCAGGTCCTCATAGGGCTACTACTTTAGCCTTGGTACAGGCGCCATCTTGTGGAGGTCCACCCGTTCGTCGTCTGTTGCACAGTCTAGCTGTGAGGCTGAGATCTACCCTGGTGCCATGGCGGCATAGGAGCTCTGCTGGCTGACCTTCGTGCTCACTGACTTAGGTGAGCGGCCTAGCTCTGGCTCGGTCTTGTACGCTGACAACAGGGCCATGATCCTCCTATGTCAGGAGCCTCGACTGGAGGGCAGAGCGAAGCACATCCAGCTGCGACACTCCCTCTTACGCGAGCTACAGCAGCGCTGCCAGACCCGCGTAGTACACTTGGCCTTTGGTGCCAACACAGCTGATATCTTTACTAAGGCACTTGCGCCTAAAGATCATCAGCGGCACGGTGTACAGCGTGGTCTAGTTCCAGTAGCTCCTCACCATGCCAATGCCATCCCTTGAGAGCGCAGCAGCCATGCCAGTGCCATCCCTTGAGAGGGCAGCAGCCATTCCAGTGCCATGCCTAGAGAGCGTAGCAGCAGCCATGCCAAAGCCATCCCTTGAGAGCACAGTAGCCATGCTAGTGCCATCCCTTGAGAGTGCAGCAGCCATGCCAGTACCATCCCTTGTAAGTGCAGCAGCCATGCCAGTGCCATCCCTTGAGAGCGCAGCAGCCATGTGAGTACCATTCCTTGAGAGGGCAATAGCCATGCCAGTGCCATCCCTTGAGGAGCATGCTAGGCTGATGCCTAGTGACAACCTCCAAGGGCACATTTGAGCCACATTCGACCCAATACCCACCACCCTTCAAATTCCTCCAACCATCACTCCCCAAACACCCTGGCGTGCAGGGTGAAAAAAAGGGTACCCCCACCACCATACCCCCTACACTCCACCCACTTCTCCAACAGCTTCTCCACATACTTTTGCTTTTCTTGCGTTTTTTCTTTCTTTCATTTTCCCCCCCCCCCCTTTTTTTTTGTTTGTGTTTTTTTCGCCATGACTCATCAGCGCAGCAATAGGGTCCGCCAGGGTCATCTCGAGGTTGCTGCCAGCACAGGCCTGGGCCCTCTGCAAGGCCGCTTGCTCACAGCTACGAGACTCGTCTCATGTCCTTGCTGCTTTTTCTGCGCCATGCCGCTGCCTGTGCCTTGGGCCTTCCGCTGGGCTGCTTTGGCGATGCGAAACGGTGCAGCAGCGATGCAGTGGCTGCTGGTCTTGGTGCCACTGCCCTTGCCGTGCTTATCGCCAATGGATCTCCTGCCGTCAGATCTGACGACGCCGTCGAATCTGACGGCGGATCTAACATCATTGAATCTGACGGTGGATCTGGCACCGTCAAATCTGGCAGCGGATCTGACATCGACGAATCTGGCGGTAGATCTGACATCGTCGACTCCGACGGCTCTGATGTCACAGTCAAATCTGACGCCGTCAAGACTGACGGCGTCAAAGCTTTGGTCGTTCGTTTCGACGTCACAGCTGGCAGCTGCGTAACGTCGCTCAAATAGGCTTTACTACGCTGGACGTCGCACATGCGACCATCGCTGCTGCTGTCGCAACAGAGCCTCATGTTGCTCAAGCTGCAGCTGGCCGTCAGCGTGGAAATACGGCGGATCGTGTTCATGCTACTCGAGGAGCTCAGCGGCTGCAAGCGTAAGTTCGCCCGTTTCTCGCCGCTGAGATTTCTACAGAAGCTGAGAGCTTTAGAGTAGGGCGTGGAGTCAGAGGTTATGGCCATAGCACTGTGTAAGGAATTTCCATTCCTTACTGATTCGTACACTAGCGCATACCCCCGAGCTCCTCGACTCATAACGTTCGGCCTCAATTGTCAGCCCAACCCTTTCCCGAGTCGTGTCCAGCATTGTCGCCACATTGCCGAACCTACCCACGTTCCGAGGTTATCGCCCTAGCACGCCAACAACCAGAACTGAGACCAGCGAGAGAAGACTCTGAGCCGAGAAGTCATGATCCCCATCGCCAACAACCAGAACCTGCGCACAAGAAGGAAGGTGTCGTTCAGTTACAATCCAACAAGACAAACGTGATACTACAGATGTCACGGGTACCTCGACTACAATCTACTAAGTGTTACCCAGCTAATTTCGAAGGGAATTCACTTGGAGTGTGACAACTTCGATCAAGGGTTCCATCTCTACCACGGGAAAGGCGGTCTCATCATTGGCAAAGCCATCTAGAAGCACGGAGTCTTCGTTTTGGACTTCATTCCAGACCGCGGGACCACTGACCCCGGGTTCGACCGCGATGGCTTCTGGTACTCCAACACGATTCCTGAAGCAGAAAGCAGAAGGGCATTAGCGGTGATGCGGGAAGCAGAGGAACAAGAAACACAACCACAGTACGCAGCAGAATCACAAGCGCCGACACAAGAACTTCTTGCAAGTCCCATCGCTGGGACTTCGTCGGCACCACCTGTCGAAGCAGCTCCGCCTGAGATGTGACCCGTTGATGAACTGCCGCCGATCGACACCGAGTAGTTGAAGGTGCATCCTTGCAAGTAGCATCGAGGCGCCGCGACCGTCTGTGCCTTCTACGCCAACTCGGATCTGTGGGAGACAAGGCGAGCGAGGAGATTTGGCATCAACGATTAGGACATCCTGGCAATTCAAGACTATTCGACACTATTCATGCGAACATCCTGGACAAGGATGCTCTTCTTCTTCTCGACGGCCGTGAACTCCGACGACCCCAACGCACCTGCTTTATATGCCTAGAAGCAGATCTTCCTCGACAAACGTTCCTGTCGCATCACCAGACGGGGGGATGAAATACCAGTCACAGCGATTCAGGGACTACCTCCTGAGAGAGGAATCAAGAGGCTTGTCACCCTCCCCTACGCTCACCAACAGAATGGTATAGCAAAGAGGATGAACAGTTTCCTCCAGAACACCATAAGGAAGCTGCAGACTGGGATGCACTTGCCCAACTCGCAGTGGCCGGAGGCAATGAACCACGTCATTATGCTGCAAAATCTTCTGTCGTCAAGCTCCCTGCCAAACAACGCATCACCGCATCTACTGTGGATAGGAAAGCAGCGCAGCACAAAATTGTTACGAGTGTTCGGCTGCATGGTACACTACTGTCCGCACACTGCACGAGCTGGAAGATTTTCATAGCGAGCAAGATGGGGTCTACACCTCGCTGTGGACTACAAGGCATGGGAGATTTTTGATGTGGAAGATAAGGAAACAGTACCGGCACGTGATGTGATTTTCTACGAGAACCTCACCCTCAACAATTGCATAGAGAACATCGCAACCAATCAAGACCCATCCAATGGTTTTGATGGCGCACACCCGTTTGCCCCGACCGAAGAAGAAGCTGACCTGGAAGAGCAGAACATTCCGAACGCATCAGCAGCTGCAGGACCACTTCCTTACTGCTCTGTCGACATGCAGGTGGACGATGAAAATCCTCGGGAAAGCAGGAACGTTGAAGCATACTATCACTTCGCCGACACTGGTTACTTAACACCCAATAGCGTCGACACCAACGTTTCAGAAAGATTTGGATGAGGATTCGTACCTGATCCTGAAGCGGGAGACGAAGCAGACTATTCCAAGGATCCGACACTCCCCCGCTATACCGAGACTGGCCTGCAAATCCTTGGAGTCATAGCAGCCGTGCATCCTCCGTCCTCACTGCCGCCAGTCGAGGAGCCGAAGACCGTCAAGCGAGCGTTGCAAGGACCATACATGGAAAAATGGAGGGAGGCAATGGATCGAGAATTAGCAGCACTGCACGAGAGAAACATGTTATAATCACAATAGGCTTAGATGTGCCTATAATAAGAGATAGAGAGCACAGTCGGATTTCCGTCAGACAGCTTCAAATATTGATAACGATCTGCTCGCTGAATCAAACTATGACCTGTAAGTTGGATCTGGAGCGTGTTGCTGTCATCTATCACCAGCAAGTTGAATCATGAAATTCCATGCAGATTTGACGACACTATGGCGGTTTGACTGGCAGGAGGTGTAGCAGCCACTATAGTCTTGGAAGTACAAACTTAGCAAGAAGAGTTCGAGAGGGAGATGGTTCCCAGCCTCTACATGCCCCAAGAGCCGAGGTCTAGGTTGGTGGTACACCACCACAAAGTCCCCAACCACGAAGAGTCTTGAAACCAACCCTCCAAGGGGCTACACCAAGTGAAATGTAACACTACACGAAGTAGCGTTACTATTTTCACTATTATATATTTATCCGCATCCCTTGGGCTTGAAATCTTGAGCTCTTGGTCTTGGTTCTGCAAGATAAATTCTTCTTGAGTTGATGGGGGCTTGCTGCACACACCTGCGATGTGATGGACACTTCACACTCGACAAAATAGAAAAAACACAAGCGACTCACAAACGACGACTTGACATGCGAGTTGTAAAAACTCGCTAATGTCTTGACCGACACAAACCACATAGTGATACACCATTCAAACACACACACAAGGACCGGATAGCAATGCACACGCACAAAAAAGGACGACAAGCCGAGTGCAAGCCATAGGGTTGCACCAACAAACTCCCCCTCGGATTGTTGGCCTTAGAATCTGCTCCCCTTAGTTCAGAGCCATCCCAGCAAGCTTGCAACACTTCCAATGCTGCTGCTCAACCAGCCTCTTGGTCATCATATCAGCAGGCTGCGCCGTCGTCTTCACGCAGTGCAACTCCACTTCACCCGCGGTGACCATGCTCCTCACCCAATGCCACTTCACCTTCATGTGCTTGGTAAGGCCATGAAGAACGGGGTTCTTAGCCAATGCAATAGCACCCTGGCTATCACCGTAAAGTGGGGTAGGTCCTTGCTGCTCCTCCCCCAATTCAGCTAGCAAACGCCGCTGCCACACAACCTCCCTTATGGCACGAAAGAGTGCCATGTACTCGGACTCCACCGAGCTCAACGCTTGGTCCACTTGCTTCTTGCTCTCCCAAGCTGTTGGGCCTCCACCAACACAGCAGATGAAGCCTCCCACACTTGTCATATCCTCTGGTTCTGATGCCCAAGATGCATCAGAGAAGGTGGTGAGAAAGAGCCTCCCGGGTTCGACTCCATCCGCACCCTTTTGACGCCTTTGTGCCGCCGCGGAATATTGCAGTCCAACAGTTGCTGTTTGGCCAAGGTACTTGGCCACCCTCTCTCCAGCTGCTACCTGCTCTTCATTAGGGCATTGGACAACCCTAGCCAGCTGCCCGGTAGCAAAGGCTGCATCCGGCCTTGTGTGAACGGCCGCATACATGAGGCTGCCCACCAAGGAGTGAAAACGCCGCCTCTCCTCTTCACCAACACTTTCCTCCGCTGGTCCTTTCACACACTTGAACCCTGAGGGAAGAGGAGTAGCCACATGACCTTCACTCTTCCCAAAGTTTGCAGCCAAGGCCTCCAAGTACTTCTTTTGATGCACTCGCATCCACCGCTTCTCCACATCTCGCTCAATGTGAAGCCCAAGGTAGTAGTTGACGTCACCAAGGGTCTTGCACTTGAACTTGTCTTGAAGCTTCAGCATCACCTCCTTCACAAGGTCAGAGGAGGGTGAGAATATGAGGATGTCATCCACATAAACCACCATGAAGCTCCTTTGCTCCCCCTCGCCAAGCATGAACAACGATTGATCGGCCGTTGAGGGAGTGAAGCCGATCGCCTTCAAGACTTCCCGCAGCTTGATGTACCATTGCCTAGGGGCTTGCTTGAGGCCATAGAGTGCTTTCTTCAGCTTCCACACTCTGCCACTCCCATCATTGTACCCCTCTGGCTGCTCCATGTAGGTCTCTTCCTCCAAAACACCGTTGAGGAAGGCCGTTACAATGTCCATTTGCTTCACCACCCATCCTTTGATGGCCGCCGCGGCGAAGAGGGTTCGAAGGGTTGTACCCTTCACCACAGGAGCATATACTTCATTGTAGTCCTTCTTCTCCTGCTGCTGGTACCCCTTGGCTACAAGTCTGCTCTTGTAGCGCTCAATGTTGCCACCGGCGTCGGTCTTGCGCTTGAAGAGCCACTTGGAAGAAATCGCCTTACGCCCCGGAGGTAGGTTCACCAAGTCGAAGGTGTCGTTCTCGATGATGCTCCCCATTTCTTCATCTGAGGCCTTCTTCCACTCCTTCCCATTGGGGCCCTCCCAAGCCTCCTTGGGATTTGTAGGCTCCCCCGGTATCTCCACCGGAGAGAAGAAGGCAAAAGCGCACTCCTCGCTTTCATCTTCCGCATCATCACCTAGCATGAGAGCCGAACCGGTCAAGGTTGAGTTGGCTGGTCCTCCAAGCCGTTCATAGCTCAACCTATTGGGGGGCTGAGTCCTCCTTCTCCCCCTTCCTTCCTCCTCTGCTGCAGGGACTTGAATGCTCTCATGGCTTTGCGGTAAGTCCGGTCGGTTCCCGCCAGCACTTGTAGCACGAGGCGGAAGTGACGGTGCACGCTCATTACCTTGCTGCACCTCCTCCTCCTCCTCATCCCCATTCATTTGGGGAGATTGCCTCGTAATTGTGCTGCTGCTACTCAGCTCCAAGGGCAGCTCCACATGCTCCAAGCCGGTCCTCTTCACCTCTCCAAGCCGCACACCAATCTTCGCTTCGTTCTCCGCCTTCCACTCCTTGTACGGTAAGTTCTCCATGAACTTGCAATCTCTGCTCACCAGGAACTTCTTGGTAAATGGGTCCCATAGAAGCCATCTCTTGCTGTTTTGGGCCATGCCCAGGTGCACGGCCCATGTTGCCTTGGCATCAAGCTTGTTGTGCCGAAGTTTCTTAGGCACAAGTGCCATGCACATGCACCCGAACACCCGAAGCATATCCACCTTCGGCTTCCTTCCAATCCACTCCACATAGGGCACCCATTTGTCTTCTCCCACATGAGTCAAGGCTCTGTTCTTGGCCACACAAGCATGCCGCACTGCATCCGGCCAAAAGTACTTGGGTAGACCGGATTCAATGAGAAGTCCCCGAGCCGTCTCCGTAAGTGTCCGATTCGCACGCTCGGCGATGCCGTTCATTGCAGGAGAGTAGGGCATGGTAAGAGAGTGCCTTATGCCCTGATTCTTCAGCCAAGTTGAGAAATCCTTGCTCAGGAACTCTCCCCCACGGTCAGTGCGAATCGCCTTCACAAGTCGGTCTTGTTGCCGCTCCACCATCGGCAACCAATCGGTCTTCACCGTTTCAGCTACGTCACTCTTTTTGGGCAGCACATACACCCAAGTCATGCGAGTGTAGACGTCCACAATGGTGAGGAAGTACTCTGCTCCAGCAGCTCCAAGCTTCAAGGGGCCCACCACATCCATCACCACCTCATCAAGTGGTGCCTTCGCCGTTGTCTCCAAGCTATGGAACGGGTAGCGGGTGAACTTGGCTTGCATGCATGTTGGACAGCCAAGCACCTCATTGGGCTCCCCCTTGACACGTATCCCACTGACCATCTCTTGCTTAACAATCTGCTGCAAAATGGGCAATGCCACATGCCCCATTCGCCGATGCAAGGTCAGCCAATCACACTCTCCCGTAGCGGAAGTCGGGTTGGAGAAAGCGGCACTCGCAATTGTGCCTCACAAGCTCTCTCCTTTCTCATTTGCCGCTGCTGCTTTGCTGATCTTAGGCTTCTCCTCCTCATTTCTGTTAGGATGAAGGACGGAGTCTAGGTGAACTTAGGAGCTAGAATTACTCAAAATATATATCCGAAATTCTGGACAGAAAAGTCGTCTTCACAAGAAACGACGTCGACGAAAAACTAGCCGTTGGAATGTCGCGAAACTTGGATATTTTGTAGCTCGTAATCTCAGCTACCGTTCCCAATTTGAATCATGTTGATTGATGAAGTATTCGCGACGCTATGGCTTTCGACGCACTAGGGGGTAAGTTGTAGGAGGAGAACTTACACTGAGGGAAAAAACTGTCCGGATAAATGGGTTTAGGCTATTGCCGGTCAATTTTTGCTTGTTATGGTAACAATAAGTTTCCACAAATTTCCTTGTGTGTATAACAGTGCGTATATTCATGAACCCACCGAGTTGAGGTTTGTAATAACGAAGAGGTCTAACGTATGATAAGGCTTTGCAAGATGGACTGCTTCCGGACAGTTTTTTCCGATCGACGTTCGACATCTACATTCGCCACCGGTCTTAAATTAGGTCTCGATCTAGCGAACTTCTCGCCGCCGCTCCGTAGCCCCGTAGTCCGCACACGGTCCAGACGCCATGAAGCCGGTCGATGAGAAGCGACGAGCACGTATTATCGAGCTTCTGCGCAAGGGGGTTAGCGTGCGGAAAATAGCGAAAGATTTAGGTGTAGGTAAAAGCACCGTCCATGACTACGGTCTCAAAGTCATCGGTGAGACTAGCCGCGAAGAGGTGCGACCCACAATGCCGCCAGGTGGAAGGCCACGTGTTATATCACCCCGACTCCAGCGCACCGTTATTCGAGCTATTACTAGTGGCGCGGCGAAAACGAGCGTTGACGCGGCGAAAATGCTAGGAACAGCACACGATGTTAACGTATGCCCCAAGACAGTTAGGAATTCTCTTCGTGAAGCTGGTCTAGTCGCAGTATCGCAACCGAAGAAACCGCGACTGTCCAAGCAGAACATTAGGGACAGGCTGGAGTTTGCCAGGGCGCACGTAGACTGGACGCTTGAGGACTGGAAGCGCGTTATTTGGTCCGACGAATGCAAGATAAATCGGTTTTGCTCGGACGGCCGCGCATACGCCTGGATCCGCGACGGCAACAACCTGCAGAGCCATCAAATCCGACAAACGGTGAAGCATGGAGGGGGTTCTGTGATGGTGTGGGGATGCCTGACCTATGACGGCGCGGGATTTATGTGCAAGATAGATGGGAGGATGGATGGGCCATTGTATCGCAGCATTTTACAGGATGAACTCACATCCACTATCGAGTTCTATAGCCTCACGCCATGTAAAGTCATTTTCCAGCATGATAACGACCCCAAGCATAAGTGGCGCCTAGTGCAGGAATACCTTGGGGAGCAGGACTATTCCGTGCTCGTCTGGCCCTCCTCCTCCCCCGATCTTAACCCGATCGAGAATCTCTGGGCTCACCTCAAAAAGGAGCTGTCCAAGTACGAGCAGCCACCATCAGGAATGGTGGAACTTTGGGAGCGGATCCAAGAGGAGTGGGAGCAGATTCCCGCGGATTTTTGCAAGAGGCTCATAGACAGCATGCCGAAGCGTGTGCGTGCTGTGATCAAGGCTGGGGGAAGATGGACTAGCTACTAGAATCTGGATTAGTAGATCTTTTGGTGACAAGGGAAAAAACTGTCCGGATGATGACCTTGTATGTATAATGTGAACTGAGCATGTTTGTATGAGGTGAACGAGCTAACACCAAGGGACAGAGTTGAGACTACATGTGCCCATGACACAAGAATGTTCTCACATTAAGGCTTAATCATTCTCTGAAATTATGGCTAAAAAACGCAATAGATCCCCTGCATCCGGACAGTTTTTTCCCTCAGTGTAACTCAATCTCAAAAGTTCAATCAAAGTTCAAGAATCTCAGAAGGAATTGGAGGAGCAAGAGAAAGGTTGGGATAGAAAGAGAGGGACGAGAGGGAAGGTCCCAAGAGAGTCCCCAACCAAGGAAACCCCATAAGCACAAAGATTCCCTCCCTATAGGAACCCCAATTTTGACATTTGTCCCTTCCCAACCAATCCATCCAAGTTGGCCACCCTTGCCAACCTAACTTGGTTGTTCCCAACCAATTTGCAGCTGTCACAGTAGAGTGACAAATTTCCCCAACCCCAAAGGTCCCAACTCCATATAAAGTCACCCCACAACTTCACTTTGTAACCGCCGCAATTGTAACGCAAGCTCATGAACTTTGAATCTTCATAGCTTTCGCGTTCTTGCTCCGATTGAAGCGATTCTTGTTGCGTCACCGAGGTCTTCTCAAGATCTATCATCACAAATACCTGCTCAGACAGAATAACACAAAACACATTCCCAAACTCCAAAACACACCACACACAAATTCTTTCACACACAGTCAAACCATACATGCGAATTGAAACAAGAGATGGGAGGCAGACAGAATGTGATAGCATATGATGACATCACACAACAATTTCCACCACCTTTGGCTGCTGAACCACTCTCCTTGGGTTCACACACCTTGCTGGTCTCTCCAAGATTGCATTCCTTTGAGTCACTCTTGGTGTCACTTTGCTTTCCGTGATCACCGCCACCAACCGCTTCACTCTTGGTGCTGGCGCTTACTGCCACTTGCCTCTCTTTAGGCATAGGAACCACTGGGATTTGCCACATCTCATTGTAGATGTCCCTGTCCTCATGAAGGTCCCAAAGCTTCCGCTCTCCAAGCCTCGCGGTATAGGCTTTTGGATCCCTTGGAAGATGTGTCCATGCCGGCCTTTTGCAAACCCCGCACGGAAATCAGGTTGGCTGCAAGGTTGGGCTCCCAAAGCACGTTCTTGAGGCCCACCATCTTCCCATCAGCACCCTTGAACATGGCCTTGCCCATGCCTTTCACCTCTGCTCGCTGCCCCAAAGCCGATGTAACATGCTTGACCGGCGACGGTTCGAGTTCGGTGAGCAAGTCCGCACGAGGTGTCATGCTGTAGGTGGCGCCGCTATCGATCACCCAAAAGTCCAGAGAGTGAAGGGTGACCTTTCCCACAGTAGCTGGCTGCTCAAAGCCTTCCACACCTCTTGCTGCAGCTGCCGCTTGCGTGGAGACAAAGAAGAATTGGCCCGGGTATCGATCTTCACTCGAGTCCTTGTCATAGTCTCCACCTTTCATGCTTGCCGCTTCGCTTCCACGACCACCACGGCCTCCACGAACTCTGCCTCTTCCTCCCCTTGCTCCTCTGCCCTCTTGGCCTTGAGAAGAGGTCCATCCATCAGGCAATCTGAAGCAACCTCTCCACATGTGGCCGGTCTTGTGGCAAAAGTGGCATTCGCCATCAAATCGACCGCGCCCACACCCGTAGCCATTGTTGTTGTTGTTGCTGCCATATCCTCCATTACCACGGCCTCCATTGAAGTTACTGCTGCCAAATCTTCCTCCTCGCCCTCTGCCCCTTCCACGGCCGTGCCCACGGCCCATGCTTGCAACTCCGGCACCATCCGGACCCGCCAATTCGCGACGGCGGAAATCTTCTTGTAAGATTTCCCGCTTCACATCTTTGAGTGAGAGACGGTAAGGTTGATGATGAGCGAGGACCATGAGTCCGAAAGTAAGGCCAGCAGCTTGGTCTTCTTTTGAAGGTCACTGTAGTTCAGATCAGCTCCTTCGAGCCGTGTCAACAAGTCGAAGAATTTCAGCACTCCTTCCTCCACCGGTTCGCCTTCGTCAATTCGAAGTGCCGCCATTTGCCGCTCCAAAACCACAACCACTGCCGCTGTTGCAGGAGCGTGTACACCCTTGAGAGCAGCCCATGCCTTTGGTCCCTTTGCTGGTTCACGCTGAAAAGGCTTGATGTGACGGATTTGGCTGCTCCCCAACGCTTGCCCAAGTAGAAGGTAGCCTTGTGCGCTCTTCCGCACCCACGGGCTCTTCTCCGGGTCGTTCTCGGGGCGCTTCTCCGTTCCTTCCATCACCTCCAGCAGATCATAGTGGTCAAAGATGTTCTCCATCTTGAAGGGCCACTCAGCAAAGTTGTCACCGTTGAACTTGTCAAGGCCAAACACTCTAGGCTCATCCCTAGAGGGTCCAAGGCTAGGTTGCACCGGAGCAACGGGTGGATCTTGGTGTTGACCTTGTGCTTGGGCATCATCTCTGCCTCCAGCACCTCTTCCACCCCCTTCCTCAGGTCTAGGCATGGTCGAGACGGCTCCAAGGGGCTCTGATACCACTTGTTATAATCACAATAGGCTCAGATGTGGCTATAATGAGAGATAGAGAGCACAGTCGAATTTCCGTCAGACAGCTTCAAATATTGATAACGATCTGGTCGCTTAATCAAACTGTGACCTGTAAGTTGGATCTGGAGCGCGATGCTGTCGTCTATCACCAGCAAGTTGAATCATGAAATTCCATGCAGATTTGACGATGCTATGGCGGTTTGACTGGCAGGAGGAATAGCAGCCACTATAGTCTTGGAAGTACAAACTTAGCAAGAAGAGTTCAAGAGGGAGATGGTTCCCAGCCTCTTCATACCCCAAGAGCCGAGGTCCAGGTTGGTGGTACACCACCACAGAGTCCCCAACCACGGAGAGTCTTGAAACCAACCCTCCAAGGGGCTATACCAAGTGAAATATAACACTACACGAAGTAGTGTTACTATTTTCACTATTTAATATTTATCCGCGTCCCTTGGGCTTGAAATCTTGAGCTCTTGGTCTTGGTTCTGCAAGATAAATTCTTCTTGAGTTGATGGGGGCTTGCTGCACACACCTGCGATGCGATGGACACTTCACACTCGACAAAATAGAAAAAACACATGCGACTCACAAACGACGACTTGACATGCGAGTTGTAAAAACTCGCTAATGTCTTGACCGACACAAACCACATAGTGATACACCATTCAAACACACACACAAGGACCGGATAGCAATGCACACACACAAACAAGGACGACAAGCCGAGTGCAAGCCATAGGGTTGCACCAACAAAACACTTAGAAGCTGATACCGATCTCTCAGACCAAAGGGGAAGACCATCCTCTCCAAGAAGTGGGTCTTTCTAGTGAAGACCAAGGCAGATGGAATCATCGAACATTTCAAAGCACGATGGGTGGTTCGCGGCTTCGACCAGCAGTACGGTAGTGACTACACTGAGACCTTCGCTCCAGCTTGTTGCCACACTTCTCTCTGCATTCTCCTCGCCGTCGCCACTACCCATCGACTTCCTCTACGACAAATCGACGTTGCCATCGCTTTCCTCTACGTCCCCGTTGATGCCGACATCTTTGTCAAGCAACCACATGCATACGTCGATGACCCCACTCTGGTGTGCCAACTCATCAAATCTCTCTATGGGATCAAGCAGGCCCCGCGCCTGTGGCAGCAGTACCTACACAGGATCCTGACCACCATGGGCTTTGCCCAACTTCCCCATGACCAAGGCATGTACCGGCTATCCCGCAGCGGCGACTATGTCTTGTTGATAGTCTACGTGGACGACCTGCTCTACGTCGGCTCCACCGCTTCCATCACCGTCTGGTTCGAAGGGGAGCTGGAACTTCAACTAACGATCACTGTGTTGCCGAACGTGACGCAGTATATCGGCCTCAACGTCACCGACGACTCCGACACCATCCACTTCTCGGCATCGAAGTACGTCGAGTCCATCGCTTAGCGGTTCGAACTCTCCCCACTACCCCTCAATACTCTTCACGCCTACACGCCGCAAGTTCCCGCGTCGACCGCCTCGCTACTTGCACCAGCCGGAATCCAGGAATATCAGCGGAAGCTGGGCTGCGTGCTGTTCGCTGCCGTCACCTGCCGGCATGATCTCTCCTATGCCGCTAGCCAGCTCGCTACCTACCTTAAGCGACGTAAAGGAGGGAATTTGCATGAACTCGATCGCGTGCTCCACTACTTTGTCTCGACCCCGACGATCGGCCTGATCTACCACAAAAACGCTACTACCAAAACCGAACTCATCGGCTACGTGGACGCCGATCACACCGGCGATAAGGATAACATGCGCTCACGTATCGGCTACATCTACTTTCTGGAACCTATCGGGACTATCTCCTGGCACTCGGGAAATCAGGAACTAATCACTCTCTCATCTGCTGAAGCTGAATATATCGCCCTTTGCACAGCCACAAAGGAAGAACGGTACCTGCATGAGATGCTCAAAGAAGCAAAGATTGCCGAGTTACCGAGCTTCTCTCGCTTCTGCGACAACCAATCAGCAATCAGAATCGCCAATACAATGGAATCGCGAACAGGATTAAGCACATCTCGCTTCGCTACTTTTTTCTTGAAGGACGAGACGGAGCACGGATGCCTCCAATTGGTCTACTACCCCACCACTAAAATGCCAGCCACCTACTTGACCAAGAAGCTGATGAAGTTGAAGTTCTAGTATCGCATGCTGCTGACTGGACTACAACACGTCAGCAACCTCGACCACATCGACACTTTAAAAGTGAAGGAGGGTGTTGGAAATGATCAAAGAACTTAAGGCATTTCCGTAGTCTCGCGTGAGTGTACAAAATGCAAATACTGTAACAATGAGGATCACCGAGTCAACACTTTCACAGGATCGAATGTGTCGAGGAAAGATTGCACTATCGATCAGTACAAGGCGCTTTTATACTTCCAGAGTACATCAGGTAACCAGGTTTATCTTATCCAAAGGGACTAGACCCTTCTAGAAAATAGAATCACTCTGCGTGTAGCCACGCGAGGCTATTGGCTTTAAGGGATTACGGCAGGATTACGCTAGATAGAGCGTACCAGTACATCCCAAGCCTGGTCGGTGATATAATTATAATAGCAGGATAAACCAAAGGATTATGGAAAATGAGGAATAGGAAACCAAATGAGATGAGATAAAGACCAAATGAATCAGGATTGAAAGAGGAATGAAATAGAAAGGAAATATGGAAAGGACCAGTGGTGTAACGGGGTCGTACTCTCACACTTCCCCCCCTCAAAGCTGGGTGGTAGAAGTAACACCCTGCTTGACAAGGTAGTCATGCAGAGGACGACGGGCGTTACCCATGTCGGACTCAGGTACACAGCTGTCCTCAGAAGGATCATAACCCTTCCAACGGATGAGAAGCTCCACGGTGCCATTCCGACGACGGCGGTGTGCGAGCACGGACTCGACCTCGTACTCGGGTTCATTCTGGACGAGGACGGGCGGTGGCAGCGGCGGTTGGCGTCCAACGAAGATCGTGTTCGGATCCTTATAGGGCTTCAGAAGTTGGACATGGAAGGCGTTGTGAATCTTCCAAGTAGCTGGCAGGCGTAAGCGGAAGGTAACAGGAGTTACCTGTGCTTCAACGAGAAAAGGCCCGCAGAAGCGAGGTCGAAGTTTAGATGGGACGTGGCTGATGTCCAGGTTGCGGGTGTCAAGAAGTACCTCATCTCCCACCGTGATGGTGTGGTCGTTGCGATGGCGATCGGCCTGGCGCTTTTGTTGCTGCTGAATGTCAAGGAGGTGCTTCTGGGTCCGATCCCAAAGCTGATGCATGGTTGTGATGAAATCATGCGCATGTTGGACTGTAGCTGATGTTGTCGGTTTTTGTGGTGTGAGTGGGTGGCGTCCGTAGCAGAGGAAGAATGGCGTCTGTCCAGTAGCGGCATGTGTAGCATTGTTGTAAGCAAATGCGAGTACGGGCAGGTGCAAGTCCCATTTGGAGATCTCGTCTTTGCAGGCTGCTCGGAGGAGTTGCTCAACAATTTGGTTGAGGCGCTCGGTCTGTCCGTCTGCCTGCGGATGGTAAGCAGATGACATGGCGAGTTTGGTCCCGAGGAGAGACATTAGTTCCTTCTAGAACTTGCTGGTGAACTTGGGGTCTCGGTCGGAGAGAAGTGTGGTTGGAATGCCATGCTGTGTGATGATGTATCGAACGAAGAGTTGTGCTGTTTCTTCGGTGCGTGCTGTCGTGTGTGTCGGCATGAAGTGTCCCATTTTGGAGAATTTGTCGATGACAACAAGGATTGCGTCATGACCGCTGGTGGTAGGTGGTAACCCGGTGATGAAGTCCAGGCTAACCACTTGCCATGGTTGTTCTTGGACAGGAAGAGGCTGCAGTAGTCCCGCCTTCTTCTGCTTGCTGCTCTTCATCCGCTGACATGTATCACATAAGGTGACGAACTTCTGAACGTCTTCTGCCAAGTGGGGCCAGTAGTAGTGCTTTGCGATACCGGTCAGCGTCTTGTTGCTACCGAAGTGTCCGGTGTAGAGGACGTCGTGGTATTCTTCGAGTAGTAACTGGCGCAAAGGAGGGTAATTGGGTACCCATATTTTCGTTGATCCTTTCCGGTACGCGATGTCGTTGTCCCACTGTAGCAGATGTCTTTTTTCTACAATGGAAATTTCGGGCTCGGTGGCGTACCCGTGTGCGAAGAGTCCCTTGAGTAGTGGATTCATCCCTTCGACCTGAATAGCGGCAACGTGTGTAGGCCGGCTGAGAGCGTTGGCTTTGTTTTTGTGGCCGGGCTTGTACACGATGTCGTAGTGGAAGTGTGTCTCGAGGAAGTCGATCCACCGGACCTGCCGCCTGGAAAGGTTGGGTTGTGTCTTCAAGTATTTCAGGCTGCAGTGGTCGGTGTAGACGGTTGTTCGTCGTCCTTCGAGATAACATCTCCATGCTTTGAAGGCGATGATGATAGCAAGGGCCTCTTTGTCGTGTATCGGGTAGCTGAGTTCTGCCCTGTGTAGTTTCTTACTCCGGTAGGCGATTGGTTGCAGTCCATTCCCTTGATCTTGCATTAAGACTGCTCCCACTGCCCGGTCGCTAGCGTCAGCTTCGATGACGTAGTCGCGTTCGGGATCTGGCAAGATGAGTATGGGTGCGGACGTAAGTGCTTGCTTCAGCTGCTCCACGGCTTCTTGGTGCTTCGGCTCCCATTTGTAGGGTGTGTTCTTCTTCAGCAGATTCGTGAGTGGTGCTGCGATTTTCGCATACTGTGGCACGAACCTGTTGTAGTAATTAGCGAAGCCTAGGAACTGCTGCAACTCCTTCACGTTCTCGGGTGCCTTCCACGTACGTACGGCTTCGATTTTCTTAGGGTCGACGTGAACTCCTTGAGCACTCACCAAGTATCCTATATATTGGACCTTCTCAAGGGCGAATTCGCTCTTGGACAGTTTGACGTAAAATCGTTCGCGTCGAAGAATTTTGAAGACGCGTTGCAGGTGTTCGACGTGCTGCTTCATGTCACGTGAGTAGATGAGGATGTCGTCCAGGTACACCACCACGCACTCGTCCAAAAGTGGTCATAGAATGTGGTTCATTTCGGCTAGGAATGTTGCCGGTGCATTGGTGAGTCCGAACGGCATTACCAAATACTCGTATGATCCATACCAAGTTCGGAAAGCAGTTTTGTGGATAGAGTTGTCCGCCATCCGTATCTGCCAGTATCCGGACCGCAGATCCAGTTTGGAAAATACCGTAGCTCCTCGAAGCTAATCAAGCAGGTCATCGATTCGTGGTATCGGATATTTATTCTTGATGGTCTGCTTGTTGAGAGCTCGGTAGTCGATGCACATGCGCAGGCTTCCGTCCGGTTTCGGTGTGAAAACCACTGGGGCACCGTATGGTGAAGTGGATGGTCGGATGAGTCCTTTGGCTAGGAGATACTCGATCTGTTTTTTCATGTCGGTCAGCTCCGTAGGGCTGAGCCGATATGGTGCTCGGAAGGTCGGCTTCAAACCCGGTTCCTCTACGATCTCGTGTTGATGCGTTCGGTATGGCGGCAGCTCGTTCGGAAGATCGTCCGGAAGAATGTCTTGAAACTCTTTCAATAATTCCTTGATTTTTCCTCGAGGTTCCGAGGTTTTCTCCCTGTCGTTCTCCGCCTCTGTAGCTATTACCAGGAACCCTGTGTCGGTTCGCTTCACGTCCTTCTCGAATCGTGCGAGTGTCTCCACTGGGATATCTCCTGTATCGTCCCAGTTGGGTAGCTGTACTCTCCGTCCATTGTTGTAGATGCTTGCGGTGCGGTTCACCCAGTTGATCTCGGGGTTGAATCTTTTTAGGAAGTCTCGCCCGAAGATCAGGTCAAGCCCTTTGATGTTGGTGATGGGGAGTGCAGGTCTCCAGCGAAGTGGTCCAATTTGTAGATGTAGCACTGCTTCCCCGTGTACGGGTAACTTGCTGCCGTCCACCATCGTTGCAGAAAATCTTGAAGGCTTGTACTCTTCCCGAAGTCGATCCATTACTGCCTTGTCGCAGACAGTGTGTGATGCTCCGCTGTCCACGAGTGCTTGGAGGCGTCGTCCTTTGCAGATGACCTCGAGCACGAGGGGCAGGCGTTGCTCGGTGTACCCAAAGATAGTTTTTTTGATTGGGTCATAGGGTACATCCCAATATTCCGTACACACCTTTGTGTTGCTATCTACTCCTGAGCTGGGAGCTGGCTGAGGCTGCTTGGAGAATGGCTCTTCTCCAGGGCCCGGAGTTTCCTTGACGACTGTGCGCGTCACTGATGCCGAAGAACTGGATGCATCCGGAGGAGGAGTTTGGGGTTTGTGCAGCTTTTTGTAGACCCCCAGCTTCCTCTTGAGCTGCTTCAGCTCCACCGACGTCTTCCCTGGGGAACGGGTAGTCCTTGTGGGCTGGTGTCGGGAGAGGACGTTGACTCCGTGGAAAGGTCGGCTTCTTTCCACACTCCTTAATTTTTTCCCCAAGTTGTCTGGTACTGGTATAATCTCCACAGCTGTCTGCTTTTTTTGGAGTCCTTCCCGAATTTTCTCCAAGGCTCTAGCCCCGCGAAAATCATAAGTTTTCATTAAAGCATCTTTATAAGATAACTTTAACGAATTCTTATATTTTCTTGGGTCTTCAAGGAGTTTCCCCGTCTCGGCAGAGTCTTTTTTCGCGGAGTCGTATTTTTCCTCGGCGATTTTCCCTGGCGAAGACTGGTCGTGGGGTGGAGATTTTCCCCCATCATTTCCTCTTTCTCGCGTCGAATCAGCTTCGTCGAAGTTGATTTTCCCGGAATCCCGCGGCCGCTTCCGGATCTTTTTATTTTCGCCAGCTAGATCCGCAATCACTGGCGACTCCCGTTTTTTTGCTTCTGATTGGCCGAAGAAATTCCGCTACTGTTGCGTGCCCGATACTCTGCGCGTGCGGCTTTCATTTTGTTGCAGTCGAAGATTCGGTGACCCGGCACCCCGCAAAAATCACACGTGTAGTTGGTGTTTTTCGGACGTGGCCGCCCCTCGAATCTGTCGACTTCCATCGGGTCGGCGAACGTGGGGTGAGCCGAGCGGTCGCCCTGTCGTGTACTGCCGACGTGCGTCCGGTTTGTCCCGGCGTTGACCATGTTGAAGCGCTCCGCTGCCGAAACGACGTCACTGTAGTTCGCGTAGTTTGACGCTGCTACCTGTCGTTTGACTTCGGTCTTCAGCCCGGCGAGGTACGACTGTACCTTTTCCCCTTCTGTCAGATCGGGAATCCGGTTATAAAATTCCTCCATCTGCTGCGTGTACTGTGCTACACTCCCGAACTGTCGATGGGGATGAATTTTTTCCCGCGCAAAGAAACTGGAAATTATCGGCTCGAAGCGTTTCAGTAGGTCGGCGCGGAACTGCTGCCACGTGGCTTCACCGTGGATAAAAGTGCTGTTGCCGCCAATCCACTCGAGTGCCGGCCCTTGCATCAGTGTCGCCGCGAGTCGTACGCGTTGTCCGTCCCAGACTGGCGAGCTCCATCCGACGGCTGCGAAGTAGATCTCCATCCCGGCGATCCATCTGCGGGCGTCGGAGTTTCGATCGCTCGGATCGAACGGCTCAGGTGGACGTGGTTTCGGAGCCTCGAGAAACTGCTGCGACTGCTGCGTCATCACAGTTGTCGAGTCGTGCTGCGCTCCGGCGAGTCGAGTTACTCGCTCGAACTCGTTTCGCCATGCTTCGCGATCCACTCGCATTTCCTCCTGAAGGGCTGCGATGCGCGCGAAGAGCTGCTGGGTAACCTCGGCGTTGTCGAAGGTTGCCATCCTGTTCAAAACACGCACGGAGGGGGTAATTCAAAAATCGCGGAGCAGGTGCTTACCAGAATCGGCGTCGAGTCGGTCGCCCCCGGCGGTTTTTCGAGGCAGGTTTTCCCGCTGATGCTGCTTTGTTGAGCGCGGCCGAGTGAGAAAAGCTCTGATTACCAAGTGTCACAGGATCGAATGTGTCGAGGAAAGATTGCACTATCGATTAGTACAAGGCGCTTTTATACTTCTAGAGTACATCAGGTAACCAGGTTTATCTTATCCTAAGGGAATAAACCCTTCTAGAAAATAGAATCACTCTGCGTATAGCCACGCGAGGCTATTGGCTTTAAGGGATTACGGCAGGATTACGCTAGATCGAGCGTACCAGTACATCCCAAGCCTGGTCGGTGATATAATTATAATAGCAGGATAAACCAAAGGATTATGGAAAATGAGGAATAGGAAACCAAATGAGATGAGATAAAGACCAAATGAATCAGGATTGAAAGAGGAATGAAATAGAAAGGAAATATGGAAAGGACCAGTGGTGTAACGGGGTCGTACTCTCACAAACACCGCTACTGTCACAGGATCGAAGGTGTCGAGGAATGATTGTATTATCGATGAATAGAAGGTGCTTTTATACTTCCAGACTACATCAGGTAACCAGGTTTATCCTATCCAAGGGAAAAGACCATTCTAGAATATAGAATCACCCTGCGTATAGCCACGCGAGACTATTGACTTTAAGGACATTACGGTCGGATTACGCTAGATATAGCGCCCTAGTACATCCTAAGCCTGGTCGGTGATATAATTATAATAGCAGGATAAACCAAAGGATAATGGAAAATGGAGAAAACGAAACCAAATGAGAGCATAAAAAGAGAAATGAAATAGGAAGGAAATAAGGAAAAGCCAAGTGGTGTAACGAGGTCGTACTCTCACACTTCCCCCCCTCAAAGCTGGGTGGTAGAAGTAACACCCTGCTTGATAAGGTAGTCATGCAGAAGACGACGGGCGTTACCCATGTCAGTCTCGGGTACCTAGCTGTCCTTAGAAGGATCATAACCCTTCCAACGAATAAGGAGCTCGACGGAGCCATTCCGACGACGGCGGTGTGCAAGCATGGACTCGACCTCGTACTCGGGTTCATTCTAGACGAGGACGGGGCGGCGGCGGTGGTTGGTGTCCGACGAAGATCGCGTTTCGATCCTGATAGGGCTTCATAAGTTGGACATGGAAGGCGTTGTGAATCTTCCAGGTAGCTGGTAGGCGAAAGCGGAAGGTAACAGGAGTGACTTGTGCTTCAACGAGAAAAGGCCGGCAGAAACGAGGTCGAAGTTTAGATGGGAGATGGCTAATGTCAAGGTTGCAGGTATCGAGGAGCACCCGGTCTCCCACGGTGCTCGTGTGGTCGTTGCGATGGCGATTGGCCTGGCGCTTCTGTTGCTGCTGAATGTCGAGGAGGCGCTTGTGGGTCCGACCCCAAAACTGATGCACGGTCATGATGAAATCGTATGCAGGTTGGACTGTTGCTGATGTTGTCGGTTTTTGTGGTGTGAGTGGGTGGCGTCCGTAGCAGAGGAAGAACGGCGTCTGTCCAGTAGCGGCATGTGTAGCGTTGTTGTAAGCAAACTCTAGAACGGGCAGGTGCAAGTCCCATTTGGAGATCTCGTCCTTGTAGGCTGCTCGAAGGAGTTGCTCAACAATCTGGTTGAGGCGCTCGGTCTGTCCGTCTGTCTGCGGATGGTAGGCGGATGACATGGCGAGTTTGGTCCTGAGCAGAGACATTAGTTCCTTCCAGAACTTGCTGGTGAACAAGAGGTCTCGGTCGGAGATGAGTGTGGTTGGAATGCCATACTGTGAGATGATGTAGCGAACGAAGACTTGTGCTGTCTCCTCGGTGCGTGCTGTTGTGTGTGTCGAGATGAAGTGTCCCATTTTGGAGAATTTGTCCATGACGACAAGGATTGCGTCATGACCGCTAGTGGTAGGAGGTAACCTGGTGATGAAATCTAGGCTAACCACTTGCCATGGTTGTTCTGGGACAGGAAGAGGCTGTAGCAGTCCTGCCTCTTTCTGCTTGCTGCTCTTCATTCCCTGACATGTATCACACGAGGTGACAAATTTCTGAACATCTTCTGCCAAGTGAGGCCAGTAGTAGTTTAGTTCTGCCCCGAGCAGTTTCTTACTGAGGCAGGCGATTGGCTGAAGTCCATTCCCCTGGTAGCATCAAGACTGCTCCCACTGCCTAGTCGCTGGCGTCAGCTTCGATGACGTAGTCGCGTTTGGGGTCTGGCAAGATGAGTACTGGTGCGGACGTGAGTGCTTGTTCAGCTGCTCCATGGCTTCCTGGTGCTTCGGCTCCCATTTATAGGGCGTGTTCTTCTTCAGGAGATTCGTGAGTGGAGCTGTGATTTTCGCATACTGTGGCACGAACCGGTTGTAATAATTAGCGAAGCCTAGGAACTGCTGCATCTCCTTCACGTTCTCGGGTGTCTTCCACGTACGTACGGCTTCGATTTTCTTGGGGTCGACGTGAACTCCTTGAGCGCTCACCATGTGTCCTAGGAATTGGAATTTCTCAAGGGCGAATTCGCTCTTGGACAGTTTGACGTAGAATCGTTCTCGTCGAAGAATTTTGAAGACGCGTCGCAGGTGTTCGACGTGCTGCTTTATGTCGTGCGAGTTGATAAGGATGTCGTCCAGGTACACCACCACGCACTCATCCAAAAGTTGTCGTAGAATGTGGTTCATTTCGGCTTGGAATGTTGCCGGTGCGTTGGTGAATCCGAACGGCATTACCAGATACTTGTACGATCCATACCGAGTTCGGAAAGCAGTTTTGTGGATAGAGTTGTCCGCCATCCGTATCTGCCAGTATCCGAACCGCAGATCCAACTTGGAAAACACCGTAGCTCCCTGAAGCTAGTCAAGCAGGTCATCGATTCGTGGTATCGGATATTTATTTTTTATGGTCTGCTTGTTAAGAGCTCGGTAGTCGGTGCACATGCGCAGGCTTCCATCCGATTTCGGTGTGAAGAGTTTTGGGGCACCGTATGGCAAAGTGGATGGTCGGATGAGTCCTTTGGCTAGGAGATACTCGATCTGTTTTTTCATGTCGGTCAGCTCCGTAGGGCTGAGCCGATATGGTGCTCGGAAGGTCGGTTTCGAACCCGTTTCCTCCACGATCTCGTGTTGATGCGTTCGGTATGGCGGTAGCTCGTTCGGAAGATCGTCAGGAAGAATGTCTTGGAACTCCTTCAACAATTCCTTGATCTTTCCTGGAGGTTCCGAGGTCTTCTCCCCATCATTTTCCACCTCTGTTGCTATCGCCAGGAACCCTGTGTCGGTTCGCTTCACGTCCTTCTCGAATCATGCGAGTGTCTCCACTGGGATATCTCATGTATCGTCCCAGTTGGGTAGTTGGACCCTCCTTCCATTGTTGTAGATGCTTGCGGTGCGGTTCACCCAGTTGATCTTGGGGTTGAATCTTTTCAGGAAGTCTCTCCCGAAGATCAAGTCAAGCCCTTTGATGTTGGTGATGGGGAGTGCAGGTCTCCAGCGAAGTGGTCCAATTTGTAGGTGTAACAGTGCTTCGCCGTGTACGGTAACTTGCTGCCGTCCACCATCGTTGCAGAGAATATTGAAGGCTTGTACTCTTCCCGAAGTCGGTCGATTACTGCCTTGTCGCAGACGGTGTGCGATGCTCCGCTGTCCACGAGTGCTTGGAGGCGTCATCCTTTGCAGATGACCTCGAGCACGAGGGGCGGGCATTGCTCGGAGTACCCAAAGATGGTTTCATTAATAGGGTCATAGGGTACATCCCAATATTCCGTAAACACCTTTTCGTTTCTATCTACTCCTGAGCAGGCAGCTGGCCGAGGCTGCTTGGAGAACGGCTCCTCTCCAGGGCTTGGAGTTTCCTTGACGACTGTGTGCGTCGTTGATGCCGAAGTTGCTGAGCTGGATGCATCCGGAGGAGGGGTTCAGGGTTTCTGCAGCTTCTTGTAGACCCCCAGCTTCTTCTTGAGCTGCTTCAGCTCCACCGACGTCTTCCCTGGGGAACGGGTAGTCGTTGTGGGCTGGTGCCGGGAGAGGACGTTGACTCCGTGGAAAGGTCGGCTTCTTTCCACACTTTTTCATTTTTTCCCCAAGTTGTCCGGTACCGGTATAATCTCCACAGCTTTCTGCTTGTTTTGGAGTCCCTCCCCAATTTTCTCTAAGACTCTAGCCCCTCGAGAATCATAAGTTTTCATTCAAGCATCTTTCTCAGAAAACCGTCGGGGGCGACGAATTCAGCGCCGATTCTGGTAAGCACCAGTTCCGCGTTTTGTGAATTACCCCCCCCGCGCGTGGTTTGAACAGGATAGCGACCTTCGACAACGCCGAGGTTACCCAGCAGCTCTTCGCGAGCATCGCCGCGGGGCTGCGGCATGGCAGCGCAGCGGCAAGGCGGTACCGTGGCACGTCAACACGGCGGCACCGCGGCACGGCAACTCACCACGGCGGCATGCGAGGGGCCGGCTAGGAAGGGGCCATCTAGTAAGGGGGGCGGTCGAGCTGGGGGCCAGCTAGTAAGGGGGCCGGCAAGCTGGGGGCTGGCTAGAGGGAGCTGGCGAGCTGGGGGGGGGCTGGCTAATAAGAGGCTGGCGAGCTGAGGGCCGGCAAGCTAGGGGCCGGGAAGCTAGGGGCCGGTGAGCGAGAGGCTGGCGAGCGCGGGGCCGGCTAACGAGGAGCCAACGAGCTCGGGGCTGGCTAATGAGGGGCCAGTGAGCAAGGGGCCAGCGAGCGTGGACCAGCGAGGGCGGGGTCGGTGAGCGTGGGCCCACTAGGACGGGCGAACGAGCGTGGGGCAACGAGGGCAAGCTAGCGTGCGTGGGGAGACGAGGCCGGGCCAGCAACCGCAGGGCGACGAGGGTGAGCCAGCGAGCGCGGGGCGGTGAGCGGGCCTACGAGCGCGGGGCGACAAGCGGGCCTATGAGCGCGGGGCGACGAGCGGGCCTACGAGCGACGGGCAGCTAGGAACAAGTGGCTCGGGCTAGGACTATGGGCGGAAGCGCGGGTGGGCGGGATCCTACATAGCGTGATACCAAACAGCGTAAAAATTGTTGACTAGAATATCGATATATGGTGAATTTGACTAAGTGGTTGTACTCTCTAAGAGTACGCACATATCCAGCCTATAGCAACATATGAATATATGTTTGACACTGGCTGCAGCCGTCCGTGCGCTGGCGCACCGAAGCTGCCACGGCAGCACGACGACAAGGCGGCACGGTGACACGACGACCCAGCGGCACGGCAGCATGACGACATGGCGGCACGGCGGTGTGGCGGCACGGTGGCACGGCGGCGTGGTGGGACGGTGACACGGCGACACAGCGGCACGAAGGCATGGCGACACGGCGAAGCCGCCACGGCAGCATGACGACGATGCCATGGCGTGGCGTCGACGCCATGGTAGTGCATCGAGGCCGCCACGGCAGCGCACTGGGGCCGCCATGGCGGCGCGAAATTGACGAGGTCGCCGCGGCAGCGCAGCGAGGCCGCCACAATTGCTCGATGAGGTCGCTGCGGCAGCGCCGCAAGGCCGCCGCAGCAGCGCCGTGAGGCCACCACGGCGGCGCGAATGTGACGGGAAGGGAATAGTGATGACAACGGCAGCAAGATCTTCCTGCTCTGAAACCATGTTAGAAAGCTAAGGAGCTAGCTAGGCATAGGAATATCGAGAGGTTTTAGGGGGAAAAGATGATGAGAGAAAAGAGAGTTGGCTTAGAAGAGAGAGAGGTACAAGAAGGGTGTTGTACCCTCTAGAGTAAGATCCAGAAATATAGCACACCTACCAAGCCTACACAAATATATATATAGATATATATATATAAGATCTATAATTTGACAACTAGGACAATCAATCTGTGCTTACTTAGACCGTGAGCACAACCGGAGGGGAAAGCTGGCTGAAAGGCCTTTATTGCACATGCCATCTGGAATTGAATCTCATAATTGCACATTGAAACTAGACAAGGGCATACGGGGTGTTATTATACTTGAGTGTTGTATCCTCTAAGAGCATGCACCTATCTAGCCAATAACACCAGAGACCAAGTGTACTACGCGGGCCCGGCGGCGCTGCTGTAGCTCGCGCAGGAGGAAGTACCACAGCTGGATGTGCTTCGCTCTGCCCTCTAATCGAGGCTCTTGACACAGGAGGATCATGGCCCTGTTGTCAACGCACAGGACCAGGGCACAGCTAGGCCGCTCACCTAAGTAATAGCAAGAACGTCAGCCAGCGGAGCTCCTGTGCCGCCATGGCACCAGCGTAGATCTCAGCCTCACAACTGGACTTTGGAATAGATGACGAGCGGGTGGACCTCCACGAGATGGCGCATGCACCAAGGCTAAAGCAGGTGCCCTGGGAGGACCTGGGCATCTCAGCGTCGTCTGCCCATGAAGCGTTTGTGTGCCCTATGAACACTACTGGCCTGCATCCTCCCAGCACTAGCCCCATGCCGTATGTACTTGCTAGATAACGCAAAACCCTCCTAGCAGCCAACCACTGCTAGGGTCGGTGTATGCATGTCGCCATAAAGCGATCCAAGATACTAAGAGGGTATGCGAGATCTGGACGAGTGCAAGTCATCAGGTACATGAGGCAGTCCACCAGCTCTGCGTACGGACCACTAAGCTCAATTCACTCGTCAAGGGCTGGAGCCAAAAGCCTATGATCTACTGGTAGAGGTGTAGGGTGTGCGGAGGAGAACTGAAGACCAAACCTCTGAAGGACTTAGAAAACCATTGTATGAGAGTGATTGTGCGCGCTGCTGTCCCTGGAGATCTGCAGGCCAAGGTAGTGGCGCGGCTCTTCTAGGTCAGTGCAGGTGTGTCTCCTCATCAGCTCAGCCTTCATGGAGGCCAGTGCGTCTCTGACTACAATAGCAAAGACCAGGTCGTCTACGTAGATTAGGATGTAGAACGGAGTCTAGCCTGAGCGAAGGGTCGGCAGAGGACGGAATGAACTGCAGGTCTGCTAACGTAGCACGCAGCGTGTCGTGCCACTCATGGGGGGCCTGCCGCAGACCGTAAACCGGGTGCCAAAGGAGCCACTCGGTCCCAGGAGGGAAAGTGCCACAGAAACCTGGGGGGCAGCATAGGTCGACTTGCTCGCTCACACTGCCTTGGAAAAAAGTTGTGGAGAAGTCAAGGGAGTGCAGCTCGTAGTCCCGCTATGCTGCTACGTGAAGTAGCGCCCGAAAAGTGGTCATATTCGGGATTGGGGCGAAGGTCTGGAAGAAGTCAACACCCTCCCGCTGACTGAAGCCTCTAGAAACGTAGCGCGTCTTGAACACTGGTGGCTCTTCAGGAGGGCGCTTCACCTTGAAGAGCCACCAGCCATCGACTGCGTTCACCCCAGGTGGGGGATGTGCATCGACGTACTGTAGATGCCGGTGGATCTCTAAGATGCCATCTCTGCGTCCATCGCAGCTATCCACTGAGAAGCCCAGGGTCCCGAGGTCGCCTAAGCGTAAGTGCGAGGGGTCGGGATGTCAAGAGCGTCTTGGTCATCGTCAAGGGCTAGCATCATGGAGCAGAGATGAGGAGCGGCATCGGACACGAAAGCTAGCTCGTATTGCCTGTCCTCTAGGGCGTCACTGCCAAAGGCAGGTGCACCCCCAACAGACGGAGGATGGGCAGGATCAGAAACCAGAGCCGGGGACGAGTCCGGTAGAGGAGACACAAGGCTGTTAACCGGTGGATGAGGCGGCGCCGGGGGAGGTGCAGGCGGGAGGTCGGGGGAAGGAAGACCGAGGAGGCGAAGGGCGGACATCGGCGGCGTTTGCTGCTGCTGGTGCAGCTGCGGCTCAGTGCCCACACCAGAGCCTCCAGCCGCACGATTGATACCCCTGGGACTCTCCACGACCGCACCCCTAGGACAAGCACCCCCATAATTTGAACCCTCTCCAGCACCCGCGCCACTCCCATGACCGCTGGGACGAGCCACAATAGTATCCCCAGGACTAGCACCCCCAGAACCAACACCCCAAGGCCCAGCACCCTCCTCAGCGCCCGCACCCCCAGCACCCCCAGAGCTTGCGGACCCCGGCGGTTGTGACGGCTGCCGGTGCTACGACGGCTGCGGCGATGGCTGCTGCTCCTGCGGCTATGGCTGCGGCGGCAGCTGCTGCTGCTACGGCGGCAGAGAAGACACCATGGCGGAGGGCACAGGAGCCGCAGAGATGGGCGGCGGACTCTGAGTCACAGGGTCCCCAGAGTCAACAGACTCCTCCGCCGGGGCAACTGAGGGAAGGGAAGTGACGTACAGTAAGACACACCAGATGGGGCAGTACGGGGAGCAGAAGCTACCGGGGGAGTGGGGACAAAGAACTCGGGTGGGTTGACCTGGAGACCTTGGTGAGGGAAGCGGGTGTTGAAGGGGACAAACTCGTCGAAGGTGACGCCAATCGTGTGAAAGGAACGGTGAGACGGCGGATGGTAAAAGTGCCAGCCAGACGCGTCTAGGGGGCAGCCAAAGAAGATACAAGGGACGGTGGGGGCAGTGAGCTTGTCCGCGCGAGAGTCGCGGACGTGAGGCAGGCAGCCCCAGACGTGAAACGCAGACGCGTTACTAAGGGACACGGTCCAG